CTGCCAGCATTCAAACAAGCCAGAAGCTACAGGGTTCAAGGTGTTCACGTTTCAGAAATCTAGTGATCCAGTGGAGATTCAAAAGTACCGCTACTTTAGACACCGAGATTCTTCTGTTCCTTTGGAATTGGATTGGAGGGTGCAAGGAACTATTAGAGACTTAGAGAAGTATGGGAAAAAAATGGTAAAACAGGGGAACTGGGACAAGACAGGTTGGAGGTCAGGTGGGAGGCTGTTATGTTTTTGTTCAATGTTGCAAATCTAAATGTTTGACTGTTCCTTTCTGTTAATCTTGCTAAATGTTTCGTCGGAGTTGTTTGATTAATGTTTGGTTTGGATGAGGGTAGGGTATGTTGAGGTTGTTGTGGTTTTACTGTATGAGATAGTGTCCATTAATGTTCATTTGATGCTTGATGCTTTCTTCGTGTCGTTTCATTGTATATTTTCTTACTTCACATTTACAAATTGGACATTCCAACGTTTCTTTCTTTTTATCACTTAATTCTTCCTTTTTCCTTTCGTAGTATTGTTGAGCATATTGTTTTCAAGTTTCTTTGTGCTGTTCCCTGTATCTGCGTTTGTTTTCTAAACATTTATTACACTGCTTACATTCATTTTTGTAGTAGTCTAACGGTTGAAAGACTTTACATTTAGAACACTGCTTTTTGTCAGTCATTATACCTCTACAATTTTAAGGGGTTATGTCTTTAAGGGGTTTTTAGGGTGGATTACATCATAATATATTTTATTAAGATATTATGAACTAATCGTTAGGTTTAGTGTCTCCACTTTTCATCACCACTACCTATTCCATCCCAACATTGAGAAACAATCGTTTTGATGTTGTAGAACACCAAAATGATTGTGTCTCTATCAAGTCCTCGTTGGTCAATCAAGTATCCCAATACTGACAATAGTGTATAATAGTTTTGTTGTAATGCTGTCATTCCTCCTCTATGGCGTATCCTCTCACCGTGTTTTTTGATTAAATCTTTATCAAATATGTTTTCATAAATTTCTTTCATAAGGTCGTGGTTTATCTCTCCATACTCTGCGTATTGCTCTAAAGATTGTTTTTGCTTAAGTAGTAGGTCGTATTTAGTCTTTAAAAGGGGTGATGTTGAATATATGAAGTTTGAAGGAACGCTACAAGCAGTGGAACTAACAAAAGGTGCTAAATCAAACACTTATGATAGTATCGGTAATGCTGATGTCAGTTTTAGAAGGAACACCATAGATTTTATGTATTTCAGAAATGGTAATGTAGAGGTGAATACAGGTATATCATTACTTGCTGAAAGTGGTAAGTTTGATGTAATTGATAGTGCCACTCCTACTAATGTAGTATTTAAAAGGGGCGGTGTGAATTTCTTTACATTAGACGGCACTAAAAATATAATTGATGTTTCAACAGGTAGGGCGTTGTCATCTCAATGTATTTGCGGAGATTATTTTTACAATAGAAATTATGGTGCTGATATGGTTTTTCAAGGCAGTAATACAACAGATGACGGTTTAGTAGAATATATGGGATACAGAAAAGCAAACGAAGATGTTAATTTTTCGAAAGACATATATGTCAATCAAGACAAAAGGGCATACTTTCATAAAGAAACAGGTAAGAATAGTTATATATTTAACGAAAATACCGCAGGTGTTAATCATTTCAAGTTATACAATGAAGACCCTAACGGGGACATAAGATTTTATGCTAATGGTAGTGTAAGACTTTTCGTCACTCCATCAAAAGTGTCTGTTCCAGCACCTTATACATTAGAAGGCGATTTAGTGGATACATCGCAAAGAGATATGAACTATGATATTGAAGAAGCAGACTTCAATTTTACAAAAATGGTAAATAGCATTAAACCTCATACTTTCAAAATGAAAGAAGAAAAAGAAATGGGAATAACTAAAACTCATATAGGTTTTATAGCAGAGGATGTAGGAGAAAATATACCAGAAAAAGTTGAAAATATACTCGTTGAAGTTGATGGTATTAAGAAATTAAGTTATGTTAAGATGGGAATTAACACTTGGGGGGCAGTAAGAGAAATCATAAAAGAAAATGAGGAGTTGAAAAACAAAGTTGAGCATTTAGAAACCCGCTTATTTGAAGTTGAAAACTTCATCAAAGATTTTGTCAAGCCTAAAGCAAAGGCGAAATCCAAATCAAAGAATTAAAAATCTAAAATCATATATATATACGCAATGGGCAATTCAAACAGCAGTGTTGAAAGCGACTACCTTGAACAAATCAAAAAGATAGACGAAGACGAAAAGACCCGAACAGATGTTTTACTCATCAAGAGCGTAAAAGAGTTGGTGGGAAGAGTGGAGAAACTGGAAAAGGAGAAACAAAACAAACTGATATATCAACTACCGAAACTACAAGTCTGTAATTGGAGTTTGATATGAACAATTGATAATATTATTGTTGAATAATATTATTAATAGGAAAGTGAGTAGTGCCCATAGGGGAGACTGTCAGTATCGTTGAACCAATACCTTTTGTTGTCATAAGATGTTAAACCGACCTTGCTTTGGTTTATACTGTAGATTTGGTGGTTCTTACTTCTGATGGCATTGAAATTAACATTCTTTGGTATGTGTTCGTGGAGTGTTGCCTCATAGTCTTTCATATCTAAATCCCGTTTAACTTTCAGTTTTGGAACACCCTTTGCTTTCTTTTCTGCTTTCTGTTCGTTGAAGACTTTTAGACAATACATTTTAGGACGCAAAGCAATGAAGTTTGTGATGATTTTTCCATCCATCTCGTCCTTGAACTTACCAAGGACTTTTTTATTAGTGGCATCATAGCAAGGGTGGTTTTTATCATAACCGCTGAAGTCCATATAATCCTTTATTCCTTTCCAATCTTCATAGATGTCTTCAGTGAAAGTTTGTATAACATAACTGTCGGTGTCAGTGTATATCAGTCTTACATCATCCTTATACCTTGCTTTTAAGACATCATAGTAGAACGAATACATATGAACCTTTGAAAGGTCTAAAATTGACATCCCCAAATAGATAGGTTTATCAAACTTCAATACGGTTTTTGTCTTTTCCACTCCTGCCAGTTCTTCATTTATAATATGACATCCTTTATAGTTCGGATTGTTGATACATTTTTGTATCCTCTCCTGCGTTGATACTAATTCAAAGTCTATATGGTTTCTGACATTCTCCATCGTTTTTCCATAGACAGCGTTGTTCATCAATTTAAACATATCTTTCTCAAAATCGCTCTTTGCCACTTTTCGCTTTTCAGTGTTAAAATCTATCCAAGGTTTCAACCAACATCTCTGTTTGAACTTCACCCCACGATGAACTTGTTTGATTTTCATACCCTTTTGAAGGTAAAAAATTGTAATGCCTTGATATGGACTACATAGTTGGTTTTATCCATTTGGTTTAGGATAAGTTTTGGTTGTTTCTCATCCCTTGCCTCCTTGCCATTATAGTAATGTCTATGTAGTTCCCTTTGGTGCTTTGAAAGTAGTTTTTCTTCAACCTTCATATTTTCAGGTGCTAATGGGTAATCCGCTTGTTCGTCCTGTATTTCCTTTGGATATTCTAAATCAACTTCCAGTATGTAGGCATTGTCGTCGTTCTCATTCCAGTCCATTATCATCCTTTCTGTCAGTATTTTCTTTATCCACTTCAGTTTTCCTATGGGTAGTTTCATTGACATTGCCAGTCAATAAAGGTTATTAGCATCTAAATAGTTGATGTAGTTGGATGGTCTGTTTTCATCATAGTCGTCCATCATATACTTATTATTTGCTTTTGCCTCCTTATGACTGACTTGACACATACCACCTCTCAAACCCTTCTCAATCATTTCATACATCTCTTGGTCGGTCAAAGGGTCTATTTCAACACCAGTTTTTAGAAGCATAGCGTCCCAAGCAAAGTTAGGAAGGGTGAAATAATGTGCGGGGTCTAAACCGTAGTATTCCAAACAAAGGTCTCTAAAATTCTCAAAGACATCAGTGAGTAAAAGAACATCGGTTCTCAAATACAAGTTGTGGTATTGTCCAAGATTTCTAATACCGAAGTGTTCCCAAATTTTTAGTGCCCTTTCATACTCATCATCTTCAATATTACTTTCGGTGAGATTACTGTAGAATGCCTCTTTTGGGGGTAATTGCTTTTCCCTAAATTTGTCAAATGAAGTGAAGTAATCATAAGGATAAACACCTTTATCAGTCAGTAAATCTAAATCCTCATCATTACTCACATAAGGGTTTCTTTTGCTAAATTTGAAGTAGTTTTGCCAGTTTTGTTTCTTCTCTCCGTCTTCATACTTACTCAACTTCACCAACTTATCCAACGAAAACGATAAGAAAGAAAAACTGTCTTTGAAACAAAGGTTTTTAAAAGCAAAGGTAATGAACTTTTCACTATTCTGTGCTATTACATCTATCTTACCCCTTTCTGACAGTTCATTAGCCCTCTCAATGATTAAATGACTGTCATAGTTCTTGAGGTTATGAAGGAAAACGGGGATTTTATAATATCTCATTGAAAACTGTAAATTACAGTCATCGTGGGCACAACCCCTATACTTACCTGTAAAATGACAATGGTCTCTAACCTTTTTATCACCTTCTTTGAAGTCTTTACCGCATATAAAGCATTTCTTTGCGGTTTTAAAGTCCCTCCAGTCATCTGCCCTCATAATGATTTCCTTGTTTTCCTTCATCTTATCCATTATCTCATTTTTTACTTCAATAATCTTTTGGATAAAAACATCCATACAATCCTCCCCTCTGTGAAGGAAAGGCGTTGATGAACCATCAATTGAATTGACAACATTTATCATAAAACCGCAGGGTCTGTGATGTTGGTATTTATCAGTCTTGACTTCTTTAGTTGAAACTGTCCCCGTCCTTGTGGTCAAACATTCAAAGTCAGCATAGATGACGAATGGTGCTTTCAACTTTTTGTAGTTATTTTTGAAAACCATAATGTCCTCTTCATTAGGCATCTGT